GAAGATCACCAGGTCCAGCCCCCTGCACCAAGCAGGAAAGATAAGTGGGGGTCAGGTGACCCCAGCAAGGTGACTGTCTAGTCTCCTCTTGAAGATTTCCAGGGTAGGTGATTGCACTACCTCTGGAAGGAGCTTATTCCACAGTCTGGACACCCTGACTGTGAAGAAGTTTTTCCTAATGTTGAGCCTGAATCAATCTTCCAGGAGTTTGTGGCCATTACTCCTGGTTTTCCCCTTGGGTGCCCTGGTGAACAGTCGCCCACCGAGCCCTTGATGTACTCCCCTAGTGCAGCTGTAAGCTGCTACCAGGTCCCCTCTCAGCCTTCTTTTCCTTAGGCTGAAAAGTCCCAGATCCCTCAGCCTTTCCTCGTATGGCCTGCCTCTTAAAACTCTGATCATACAGGTGGCTCTTCTTTGGACTCTCTCAAACTTGTCCACATCCTTGTTAAAATGTGGTGCCCAGAACTGGATGCAGTACTCTAGCTGCAGTCTCACCAGTGCTGAGTAGAGCGGAAGAATCACCATCTTGGTTTTGCTGGAGATGCATCAATTGATGCATTCCAGAGTATTATTTGCCCTACTGGCTACAGCATCACACCGCTGGCTCATATTCATACCGTGGTCTATTATTACCCCCAGGTCCCTTTCATTCGTGGTGCTAGTCAGTTTGGTGCCATCAATCCTGTAGATGTGTTGGGGGTTGCTCATCCCGAGGTGCATCACTTTACATTTATCGATGTTGAGCATCATCAGGTTCCGATCTGCCCAACTTGCTAGCATGTCTAGGTCTGTCTGTAACTGTAGTCTATCTTCAAGCGTTGGGGTTGTCCACAAATATGGCAAGTGAGCTCTTCACCCCCACATCCAAATCGTTAATAAAGATGTTGAAAAGTACTGGACCAAGCACCAGCCCTTGCGGGACACCACTGCCTGCTTCTCGCCAGGATAACACAGATCCATTCACTATGACTCTCTGGGTCCTACCCTGCAGCCAGTTTCTCACCCACCTGACTGTCTCAGAGTTAAGTCCACAATCCTCCAATTTTCTCATGAGGACATTGTGGGATACTAGATCAAAGGCCTTTTGGAAGTCTACGTATACAATGTCAACCTGCTTTCTCATGTCCAGGTGGCGACTTACCTGGTCATAGAAGGAGATGAGGTTGGTAAGGCAAGACCTGCCCACAATTAAACCTTGCTTGGCTGTCATTTGGAATCTTACCTTCTGCAAGGTTATCGCAGATAGACTCCTTGATGAACTTTTCTAGGATTTTCCCTAGGATGGAAGTTAGGCTGATTAGCCTATAGTTACCCGGGTCCTCCCTCCTGCCCTTCTTGTGGATGAGCCCTCTTTCAGTCCTCAGGGACTTCTCCAGAGTGCCATGAGTTGTGGAAGAGTTTCGCCAGGGGTTCCGCAACGACTTTGGACAGCTCCTTCAGCACTCTTGGATGAAGATCATCTGGTCCCACAGACTTGTATACATGTAATATTATTAATTGGTCATATACAAATTCTATGGCAATAGTAGGAAGGCGATTATTCCTACCATGCTCATCCTCTACTCTACCTGGTGTGGTTTTCTCCTTAGTCTGGTGAAAGACCAAAGTGAAGTAATTATTCAGGAGTTCAGCTTTCTCCTGGGTGCTGGTTGTTGAGCAATGGCCCCACACTTCCATTTGTTTTCCTTCTGTTCCCCATGTACCTAAAGAAGGACTTCTTCTTGTCCTCGATTCCCATTGCTAATCTAAGTTCGGTCACCACTTTAGTCTGTCTTATCTGTTCCCTGTAAATGTGGGCTGTCGTGGAATAGTCCTCTTGGGGCCCACCCTGAGCTTCCATTGTTTATAAGCCTATTCCTTCTTTCTTAAGAGGACCATGATTTCTTTGTTTAGTCAACAGGGCTTCCCAGCCCTTCTGTTACCTTTTCTGCACATGGGAATGGACTTCCGTTGTGCTTCAAGGATTGTGTCCTTAAGGAACAACCACTCTTTGTGCATACCTTTTGCCTTTGGTCCCTGGTCCCACAGCACTTCCCCTACTAGTGACCTAAGCTTATTGAAATTTAAATTTTTGAAGTCCAAGACTTTAGTCCTGCTATCCGATTTGTCTGCCGTATGTCGGACAGTGAACATGATGGTTTCATGGTCACCGTCACCCAGACTTCCCTCTATATTTAAGTTGGTCACCAGGTTGTCTCCTGTGCCCAGGACCAAGTCTAGCAGTGTCACCTCTAGATGGCCCATGCACCTCCTGAGTCAGAAAAAACTCCTCAACATAGGTCAGGAAGGATCTCAACTGATCCAACTTGGCCAAATGTTCCTCCCAGGAAATGTCTGGATAATTAAAATAGCCCATGATGACTATGTCATGTGCATGTGCAGCCTCAGTAAATTCTCAGGTGAACTCCAAATCGAGTTCCTCCCCCTGGCTTGGTGGTCTGTAGTATACACCTACAGTTAGGTTTCTCTCGCCGTACACCGCCCCCCCCCCCCCCCCCCCACCACCCCGCTCCATTTTTGAAGCCAATGTCAGCCTCCAAGGAGGTGTACTGCTCTTTCACATAGAGAGCAACGCCTCCACCTTTCTTCCCCACTTGGTCCCTTCTATGCAGGGTGTAACCCTCTATAGCTACATTCCAGTCATGTGAGGAGTCCCACCAGGTCTCCATAATTCCTACTAGATCATAATGCACACTGGAGAGTAGGAGGGCTAGCTCCTCCTGATTGTTCCCCATGCTCCTGGCATTAGTATATAGGCACCTGATTCCTCCTACTGAGGCCCTCATCGTCCTGGCCCATTGATGAAGAACTATTCCCTCAGCTGCCACAAAAGTGGCTCTCCCAGTGTCCCCATCTACAGGGCTTACTTGTATGTTGGTCCCTAGACATGTTTGAATTTGTGTATCCCTGTCCCCCAGCAATCTTAGTTTAAAGCCCTGTCCAGAAGATTGGCCATCCTGGCTGCAAACAGGGACTTACCTTTCTTTGTGAGGTGGATGCCGTCCCTTCCCAGGAGTCTTCTCTCCCTGAAGTGCACACCAGGGTCAAGGAATCTGAAGCTTTCTCAGTGGCACTAGCATTGGAGTTGCCAGTTCACTTCCTTAATGCAACCTTCCCTTCTGGGACTGAAGCCTGAAACAGGGAGCACAAAAGAAAAGACCACCTGAGCCCCTAACCCCTTGAGCCCACCCCCCAGAACCCTGTAATCACTCATGATCCAGTCTGGATTACTCCTGGCTGTGTCATTAGTTCCCACATGGATAAGGAGCAAGGGATAGTAGTCAGAGGGCCAGACAAGCCTGGGGAGCCTCTCTGCTACATCTCAGATGCAAGCCCCTGGGAGGCAGCAGACCTCACAGGCTAGGGGGTCCGGATGGCAGATAGGTCCCTCAGTGCCTCGCAGAAGGTAATCCCCCCACCACCACCTTATGCCTCCTCTTGGGGGTGGCAGCAAACTGCTTACCTACCCCTTCTCCTGGTGTCACCATCAGAGCCTCCTCACATGTGGGGAGGGGAGTGTACCTGTTGTGCAGGGCCAGGGGGAGGAGCAGCCCTGGCCCTGCATTTTCTGGAGTGTGAGGTGACTGTCTTCCATGTCGCTCCAGGTGGGTCTTCTTAGTTAGCCATCATGTTGGCCACCATCTCATCTCCATCAATGAAGTTTTTGTGGGCCCAGATATCACATTTACCCAAAGAACCTTGTCTGCCTATGCCCTTAGACCTACACAGCTACAGCCAACAATCCTGAAGTATGGAAGGGCTCATGAGCACACATTTAAAGCAGGGGACAAGGTCCTGGTATTATTACCCGACTAAAATAGTCGAGTCCTATCCAGGTGGCAGGGCCCATTTGAGATATCACGCCAAGTTGGGTCCATGGATTATGAAGTTATATTCCATGTAAATCTACTAAAAGAGTGGCAGGATTAGGAGGGCTTCCTAATAACCCCTTTCCCAGGCAGCCTGGAGTTAGAACCACTGCTGGAGGAGCCTGACCTTGCAGAAGGACGTATGCTTGGTAAGCAGCTTGATGCCACGCAACAGTGGCAATTATGGAGATTAATATGAGAGTACTGTGATATATTTTGCATGGAACCTGGACATGCAAAGGGTTGTGCAACCCTCCAGGTTGGGTAGTCAGAGAGACCTGGCGGCAAGTGCATCCACATTTACATGGAACTATTAAACAGGAATTACAAAAGATGCTAGAAAATGGAATTAACAGAGAATCAAGAAGCCAGTGGTGAAGCCTCCTAGTGATTGCCCCTAAAATGGATGGGTCCCTATACCTATGTATAGATTTCAGACAGGTCAATGTGGTGGTCAAGTTTGATGTTAATATCCACCTTGGGCATGACAAAAGGGTACTGGCAGATCTCCACGGCTGCTGAAAACTGAGAAAAAACAGCCTTTGGCACTCCATGGGGACTATTCAAATTCTTCTGCATGCCATTTGGATTACATGGCATGGCTGCCAAATTCCAGCACCTAATGGATAGTCAGTTGGATCCCTATCTGGTCTATGCTTCTATGTATATAGACAATGTAACTGTATTTTTGGAATGCTGGGACCAACACCTGGAGGCCTTGTGGAAGGTCCTCCAGGAACTGCAGGGAGCTGTACTGATGACTAACTGGGCAAATGTATGCTTGCCCAGAAAGAGACCCAGTATTTGGGCTTCCAAGTAGGACAAGGGAAAATATGGCTGCTGACTGATAAAATTCAGGCTTTAAAAGATTACAAGCAGTCTGTAACAAAAAAGTGTCAGATCCTTTGTAGGCCTTGTGAATTACTACCGTAAATTCATCCCACATTTTTCAGAAATAATGATGCCCCTAACATGCTTGACTAAGTCCAATATGCCTCACAAGAACAAATGGAACTCAGCAGCCCAGGAAACATTTGAACAAATAAAACAGGCCTTATGACAGGAACTGGTCTTGTACACTCCGGACTTTGACCAAACCTTTACTTTGCAGATGGATGCATTAGGGTGGCTGTGGGGGCTGTATTAACAGAGGAAAAAGAAGGAACAGAGCACCCGATTACATATGCAAGCCATGAGTTATTAGAACATGAGCGGAAATATTCTATCATAGAACATGAATGCTTGGCTATTGAATGGGCAGTAGATCTTTTCCATTATTACTTGTTGGGGAGGCCTTTCATCCTGGTCACAGATCACACGGCGCTTAGGTGGCTTCAGTCTGCAAAGACAGATAATGCTCACATCACTAGATGAGCACTGGAACCACAACCTTTCCATTTTGCAATACAATACCACCCCAGCAAAAAAAATATTATGGTGGACTTTCTATCATATAAAAATGAAGATAAGGCACCGACTGAATCATGGATATGGGTACACTGGAACACAGAATGGAAGGCGGTGAGTGCACCTGCCAACCTAAAGGAGCGGGGGGCGGGGTCTGTAGTAGGGATCCAGCCAGGCCCCACATGCACTGAGGTGATATGTCAGGGCACTGTTTGCGCCTGCCACTTTAAGGGCCTGAAGCTGGCAACCACCAGGTGCCTGATGAGGGCAGCCATTTTTGGATCTGGGGCTGCCCATATAAACAGGGTAGTTTTGCTGCTGGAGGCTAGGCAACAACACTGCCTGGTTGGAGGGCTGCTGGTATTATCTAGAGGTAAGGGAGATGCTGTAGGTGATGGTTAGGAGGCTCCTGGTCCTGGGTATGACCTAAAGCTGCACCCTGCTGGGAGTGGATGGCCTGGTGGGACTCTCAGTGGTACAGGAGCTCCCAGAAAATGCCAGGCCAGTTACCACCCTGGTGAAAGGCTGGTCAGGGCACCTTAACCCCTAGCCCCCATGACTGGGTGGGTTACCCCTTGTTTGAAGGGCCTGGAGGGTGGACCCTTGGAGAGAGAAAAAAGGCCATAGACTCAGGCCTGTCTGAACTTCCCCTGACTGGTCAATGCTGGGGCCAGGACTGGAAGGGTCAAAGGGCTGGGGCCCACTGCAAGGAATGCCCAAGAGCTCCGTGCCTGGGGTTCTGACTGGCCTGGAGGTGGGCCAGGGCTAGAGGAGCCAAAGGTCCCGGGGAGGGACCACACCTGAAGGGGAGGCAGTTCAGGGAGCTATGTTGCCTAGTATGAAGGTAGATGAGACCACCTGAGGAGAGGAATCCAGGTGGGGTTCACTCAGGAGGATTCTGGGGCCCAGTATGGGGGCCGGTGATTAGAGGAACATCTAGATGCCATCTGCAAGGCTTAGGTTGCGGTGTAGAGGAGGAATGGAGCCTCAGATAGTGCACCCTGGCATCGGCCCAGGAAATGAGCAGCCTCCCGCTTAATTGACATCTATTAATTATACCAACAAGGCGTGGCGGGCGAAAAGGTGGGCGGTGGCCAGGAACCAGTGGGCGGGCCACAGGGAAATTGGCCCCGAGAAGGCCCCCTGCTACAGGCGATGACCACTGGAATGCCCCACAGACTGCGGTCTTCTGGGTTGTCCTGATGAAGAGCAGCAGGCCTGTGGGCTGACAGCACACCCCTCTGTACACCCACTTCCTAGGTGGGGTGGACAGACAGTGGGCGCTCCCCATGGTCCCGTCCCCTGGGCAGGACTCAGAGCTGGAAGCTGGGCTCTGCCTGAAGCACAGCCCAAGAAGAAAACAAGCGGCGGACACATTGGGTGCCATCTAGAGCCCGGAGGCCACAGCTACAGGAGATGATGAGCCCTTCAGTGGCTCCGAGCACTTGGCAGCGGCCACATGGCAAGTGGGGGCATGCAGGGGTCCAGGTTGGACCAAGCCAACCTAGAACTTCCTTTATACAGCAACACCAATCCCAGAGATGGAGGTGCTAGCATAGGCATTGGCCCATGCTGCTGAA